CTTCCTTCCGAGGAGTGGCTGGTGGGTTTGAACCGCCAGCCGTCTGGTTAGCAGGCAAGTGTCTTAGCCACTATGCTACCAGAGCTCCCAGGAGTCCCTTCTGGGCAGTAGCCAAATCACCTGCTCTCACCTGTCACAGTGACCATGGTGCCTTGGACATCTGACCAGCGGTTGCCTTCACTGATCTCAAAGCGGAAGTTGTAGGAACCTGAGTCTTCGGTCTGCAGGTCGATCAGCTGCAAGTTGCACACCTTGTGCTCTGGTCTCCCCATCAGCTGAGCACGGCCACGGAAGCGCGCCTCCACCAGGCTGGGGTGCTCTGAGTGGCTCACCACCTGCCGCTTGCCCGCATAGTCATAGTACCAGATGGCTGTGATGCCGTTTGGCACCTCCACGTCAGCAGGGAAGTTGAAGATGCAGGGGATGAACAAGCAGGACCCCTTCACACCCTGCACCTTCTGGGGACTGGAGACATCCCATGAGGCCTGGCCTGGTGAGGGATGGGAAGAGGCACAGATAGGAGGGCTCTGAAGGACTGGAGTCACTGCAGAGCCCCCAATCTGCCCCAGAGATGGGTGCCCTGGATGGACCCAGAAACCCTGCCCCAGCAACACACCCCCAGTGCAGCCCCTCTGGGGGCCTGAGAGACAGTCCATGGACCAGGAGCTTCTCAGAAGCTTGCAAGGCAGCTCCAAGAGAGACCCAGGGCTCCAACCCAGCTCCCAACCACTATTACCCTGTGTCCTTCCTAGCCTCCAACACCCAAATCTGTGACTCAGATATAGTCCAGCATGCCTGGCCCAGCCAGACTTGCTAAGGCAAAGCCCCCTGAGATGGGCAGTGACACTTACCTGGAGGGAAACTTAAGGCCAGGAGAAGGAGCTGGAACAGGAAGCCCATAGCAGGTCGTTGTGCTGGGTCTGGTGCCTGAGAGGGTGATGCACAGTTGGTGGGCATAAAAGGGCTCCTAGAGACACTGCAGGCACATCAGCTCCGGAGCCCGCTGAGGATCTAACCCTGTGTCCCCAAGTGCTGTGTGGGTCACCGCAGAGAGAGCACAGAGTCACAGGGACCTCTGGGACAGCCACCTGCAGGGAGCCAGGAGCCCATGTTCCCAGCTTCAGGGTGTGCTCAGGAATGCCTCACTTGGTAGAATGCCCCACTTGGTGGAATGCCCCAGAAAGCCCCCTGTGTTCACTTGGCCCCGCCCCCACACTTGGTGACCTAACTTCTGCTTTCAGGGAAATTGTCTTAGAGCAGATTAACAGCTGTCCTCCCCTGCTACCACCACCACCACCAAGCAGCAGAAACTGGAGCCCAGAGAGGCACAGTGACCTACTCCAAGGCACCCAGCAAGAATGATGGTTTCTTACTTGAGATTTGCCTCCCTGCTACCGGCTTTCCAAGCTGCAGGCCATAATGGGGCTGACAGAACAAAGTGCTGTCTTTAGGAGTCACTCCCTTACTCCAGAAACTTCTGTGGCTCCCATTGCCCATGAGACATGGGCCTCAATACATTCCTGGGAAGTCTTCATTTCCTGCCACCATCTGCCTCACATAGACACTCTCCCTCCAGGCTAGCCCTTTCTCCTGCGGGTTCCCACCACAAGTGATCTTTGCTGTCTCTGCCTGCTGAACATCATTCAAGGTGCAGCTTGAGGCAGCCTCCAAACCAAACTTCCCCTTTGACACCCCTGCTGCTGCCCCAGAGCCATTTCTGAGCATGCCTTGTCTCTGGCGGCTTGTGAGCACCCATTTCTTGGGGACTAGAACTGAGTACATGCACCCCATAGTAATGCAGTGCCCTCAGGCCCTCCAAGGTCCACCATGGTCGAGAGCAGGGTCCAGGCCTTGGAGGTTCTGAGTCTGGATGGGGAGGTAGCAGGGCCAAGTCTAGGTATGAGAGGCAGCAAGAGGGCCCTGCACAGCACGTATCCCACAGATATGACTTAAACACCTACTGTATACCTTGCACAAGAAGGCAGGTCTTCTGTCATGGAGAATACCCGGGTGGGGCAGGGCAGAGACCCTAAGGGATGCCATGGGCATAAGACAGAAGGGAAGGGATACCAAAAACACATTTTGCCAGCTTTGCAGTCCTCCCTGGTCCTAAATGCTGACTTGGCAGGGTGAGGCACAGCCCAAGAGGATGGAAGTGGGGACAGGAAACTCATGACATCTCCGGTCCCAGCTTCCAGCCCATCGGCCTCATGTGTTGAGCCCAGTTGGTTCTGAGGGCTATTAGGGGGCACACCTGGGGCAGGCTTGGCAGAGCCCCAGGGCCTGGGGAGGGCCTGAATTGCTGGTTAGGATGGTCAAGCAGCACTTAGCCAAATGCAGACAGGGGAAGGGATGTCCTAGCAGGGAGCATGGCAAAGACAAAGGTGCAAAGGGGTGGCACGGACAGAAGAGCACTGCTCCTCAGGCGACCAGCCACCTTGCCAATCTGGTCACTTCCTGAGGCCCAGTGGATCATCCCTAGTTCTTTGGGTGGACCTAGACCTGCTGTTCTCCCAGAAGGACATGACTCACATCAGTCCTTGGCCACTGAGAGGCTCATGGTCCTCCAGGCTGGATCCCATGGCCTGAGGGCTGTGCTTTTCCTCACCCTGAGTAAAGGCAACCTATTGGGCATATTTAGGGTCAAGTCTGGCTCCTGGGGACTCAGAGCCATGCAGGGTGTCCAGGTTAGCTTCTTAGTAGCTGAGAACATCAACAAGATATGTCTATATTGTCCCCAGATCTCCTGCTGGGGTCAGTTCCCTGGAGTCCAGCTAATTGGTTCAGCCTGTCCACCCCAAAGACCAACCTTGGCCCAGAAAACCATCCCGAGAACAGAAAGGGCAGCAGTGTCCCCCCAAAAGGGAGACACTTGTCCAAGTTTGAAAGCCTGGTGTTGAGGGATAGATACCACCGTAGGCAATGACCATTTGGATAGCATTGTTCCCCAAACTGGAAATTCCTGGTTTATCCTTGCATCTCCAAGCCTTGAGCACTTTGAAAACAGAGTTAAAAATGCCCACTTCTGGACCTGTTATGGGCTGTGCCAGGGTTGGGTTAGTGTGGCCTGGAACATAGTAGGCACCCATGCTTGCTGCTTATGTGAGATCAAGGGAGAGGATAAAGATTACATGAGACTAAGCGTCCTAGGACATCAGGGGAGAGTGGATGAGACCTCAGGCCAAGGTCTGGCAAAGGCCAACATCTGGCCTGGGGAATACAGGGCAAAGGTAGTTCACTGCGGGCAGCTATCCCTGGGTTCAGGATTCGGTTTCTGTTTCCGCAATCCAGGGCTCCTCCCCACTTCCCTTTCAGGCCAGGCAATGAGGGAAATGGGTGACATGGCCAGCTGGAGTGCTCCACACCACAGTTGGGAAATCATGGGAATTTGGGGGTGCAGATGGACAATTCCAGGAGTGTATGATCTAAATAGTGCAAAGCTCCAACATAGGCCAAATATTTAACTCTGGAAACCATATAATCCGTTGCATTTCTTATTCAGGCTTTAAATTCTATGAGCTGAGTGCCTACTCCCCGAGGTCTCTCCTGGGCATTGTCAAGGTTCCTGCATGCAGATGAGTGAAGTAAAGATGAATGAATGGAGTGGAGCTGGGGTTACAGTGAGGGGAAGACTGCAACTGGGCAGAGGCTGGGCTGAGCTGAGGGGAGGGTGAGGGTTAGGTTGGGATTTGGAGTAGGATGAGGGTTGGTACTGGGGTTGAAACTGAGACGAGAATGATAGGTTTGGGGTGAGGGTGAAGGGTGGAGTTGGATACAGGTGATGATTAGGATATCACTGGTTAGGGTTGGAATGAGGATGAGAGGGTTAGGTGCGGGTTGGGATTGGGGTTAAGACAATGATTGATTGGAATCGGATAAAAATGATGATAAGTAAATGTTGAGGTTGGGATGCAAGTGAGGTGAGGATGAGGATTAAGGTTGGGGATTGGACTGGGGCTGGTGTAGGGGTTAGGATGATCATTAGGATTAGGATTAGAATGTGAATTGGGGAGAATTTGGGGTTGTGGAAGGGTTATGATTAATATCTTGGACTTGGGTTGGTTTGGGGTCCAGCACTCACACCCAGACACACCCCAGCAAGTCTCAGCCCAGCCCTGCCCCCAGCTCCCCCACTTTCCCTCCAGGCCCAGGGATTGGGAGTACCTGCCAGCCACCTGGACAGTGGCTGTAAGGCTGATGAACTGATCAGAGAGGAGAACAGGAAGGAAGGCTGGGAGCTCTTGATGCTGCCGGTGCCCTTGAGCTCTGCTACCCCAAGGTAGAGGACTCAGCCTCGGAATCTGCTTCCTCTTCTTCCAAGGCCTCAGCCCCACTGCCCAGTCCAGAGGCCGGTCAGGGAAGCAGCTGTAGGCTTTGCGCAATGCCAAGGCAACAAAGGCCTCCTGAAAGGGGAGGCCCCCAGTAAGGCCTAGGAACCCAGGACTCAGGGTCTGAGCTCACAGAAGTGAAAGCTGGCCTCACTCTGGGGCCTCCTTTCAGACAAAGTGGGAAATGGTCATGGGCGAGGGCTCGCTAGCCATGCTCACTGTCTCCCTTTCCTGGCCACTTCTACCTTCTAGGGATTCTCAGAGAAGAGGAGAATCTGTTCCTCCCTGACAACCAGGGAGGAGGTCAGCCCAGCAGGGGTGGAGGAGGATTACGGGGTACCCAGCTCAGGGTGTTTATTCTCCAAACCCTTTGCGAACCTCCCTGAAAACCCACACTCCCTTGAATCCTCTAAGAAGATCCCCTCAAGAAATAGGCCCTAGGTGTGGGGGACTTAGGAGCCCCAAATAGCCAGGACACTCTTCAGTCTGGAGAAGTATCTCTGACCACTTTCCCCTACTCCACTCTCCTAAACCCCCACAGATTTCAGCAGTAGCCCCTCCTACCCCCGGCCTTAAAGCAGAGAAGGAAAGATTCTACCAGAGCTGGGTTATCATTATAATTCTGGAGGGTCTACTATGTGCCTGGAACTTAATGTACGGGGCAGATGTTAATTGTGCCAAGCAATGCTGGGTACAAATGACAACGCATTTCTTTATTTCACAAGTCATTTGTTTATCATTCTACTCAGTCCCCACTTTCCCATTTTGGTTGGGTAGCCCAGCCTCAGCAGAGCAGACTCCTGCACCCTATGGGCAAACCCACTGGTGTAGATCCAAAAGGAGGTGAAACCTTGAATAAGGGAGAATTCAGGATCCCAGGCTGTGGTGGTTCAAGGCAGATGTCTGCTGACCTCCTCTGAAATCCTCAGATCCCAGAGATTAGGCCTCTGTCACTGGGTCTCTCTTTGTAGCCCTGTACCTACTGCTAAGCTTAAGTCATTTCCTCTTCTGACCAAGCAAGAGGGTTCACCCCATTTCTTCCTCTCCCAACAGCAACCATAAGGCTTGCTGGTCCAGAGACCCCAGCCCTCGGCCTGTGATAGTAGGCATCCGTTCCTGATCCATGCATGGCCTCATGATAGATGAGGAGTATTTCCCCACTCCTTGATTTTGGGCTTAGTCATGTGACTTACTTGGGTCAATGAGATATCAGTAGACAAGCTAGGTATTGAAATGTACTTGAATGGTTGACTTTGCCCTCTTGCACTTCTCTCATTGTGGTGCAAAGGGCATACTCCAGCTAACCCGATGGTCCGAAGAGGAGGAGAGACACGTGGAACAGACTTTGTCTAGTTTGTTAGTGCTGTCGTAACAGAAATACCACCGTGGGTGGCTTGAAAAAACAGAAATTTATTTTCTCACTGTGCTAGAGGCTAAAAGTCCAAATCAGGGTCTCAGCTGAGTCAGTCCTTCTCTGTCCTCATTTATGTTGTTGGTGTTATGTGCCCTCGAGTCAAACCCGACTCATAGCGAGCCCTCCTTGGGTTTCCGAGGCAGTAGCCCTCCTTGGGT